CTTTTTCCACTTCTTGTGCATGTCTCTTTTGTGTCTTAGCACAGTTAGAAGTTCTTTGGACATCCATTCTGGCTTCTTTGCACTTGTCCTATTTTTTCTCTTTGTTGGCACGGTTTGCAATTGCGTCTTGAGTATTTCACTCTTGAGAAATTCCCATCCATCCCTAACTCCCTTGTCTTTTAGTATCTGTGTCCACGGAATGCTGCTCAGTGTTTCCTTCATTTTTCAGAAATCAGCTCTCCTAAAAGTCCAAAATGCGGGTTTGGCTTGTCTTAGTTTTGCCCTTCCTTTGCACCTCAAATTGCAGTTGCACGTGGTCACTTTCCCCTAAGGATCTGACCACTTCAACCGCATCGATCAGGTCCTCCGCATTTGTTAGGATGAGATCAAGAGTAGCCAATCCCCTTGTTGCCTCTTCTACCTTCTGGACCATGAAATTGTCTGCAAGGCAAGCGAGGAATTTGTTGGACCTTGTACTCTTGGCCGAGTTTGTTCTCCAGCAAATATCGGGATAGTTGAAATCGCCCATGACTACTACATCTCTTCTCTGTGCCTGTTTGGTCAACTGTTGGCAGAAGACTTCATCAAGTTCTTCCTCCTGGCTTGGGTGTCTGTAGTAGACGCCTACAACGACATCTTTTTGAGTCCCAGTTCCCTTGATTCTTATCCAGATGATTTCAAGCTGGTTTCCCAGATTGCTGTCTTGAATCTCTTCTGCAGCATAAGAGTTTTTGACATATAAGGCTACTCCGCCTCCTCTCCCCTTTGTTCGGTTTCTGTGAAAGAGGTTATAGCCCTCGATGTCTACATTCCAGCGATAGGAGTCATCCCACCAGGTTTCAGTGATGGCTCTATGATATAATATTTGTGGTGTTGTGCTAAAAGTTGGAGTTCGTCTTGTTTATTTCCCATGCTCTGTGCATTAGTGTAAAGACATGTGAGCCCCTGGGATCTTCCCTTGAGCTGTTTAATTGGGATTATTGTGCTTTTGGTACTTGGTCCTTGTTGTTTGTGCAGCCCTCCGTTTAGCCTTCTGGCGATTCCCAGACATTATGGGTAAAGTAGTGTTCGCAAGGCTGTTGTCCCCCTCCCCCGGTGGACCTAGTTTAAAGTGCGTCTAATGAGGTTTGCGAGTCTGTCTGAAAAGTTACTTTCTCAAGCATAATGCTGACCCATTGCATAACTTTTGTGCTCAGACTGAACTCTTTTATGGCAGCAATTTGAATGATCCAGTACGAGACTTTTTCCACTTCTGCAAAGAGACAAATGAATCCCGTTTCTGGAAAAGTACTTAAGAGATTAAATAAGAGGGAAAATACTTAAGAGGCTAAATAAGGAAGGAAGTGTTAACAGAGTACATGTAATTGCATCTGGCAAGGAGGAAGTTATATATGTTCCCTTGTTATTTAGGTATTATTTATCGTGCCAGAAGCAAATTGAGTGTACCGTTATAATGTATTTTTAAAAACATAAACAAAGTTAGAAACTTGGCATTGTGCTAGATTTCCTTTGACCAGAAGCAGGCCAATTGGAATGCCTCTGTTGCCGCTGTGAGAAGGTCCTCCATTGTGCATGTGGCAGGGCTCAGGCTGCATTGTAGTAGGTGGTCTGTGGTTTGCTCTTCTCCACACTCGCATGTCGTGGACTCCACTTTGTGGGCCCATTTCTTAAGGTTAGCTCTGCATCTCGTGGTGCCAGAGTACAGTCTGTTCAAGGCTTTCCAGGTCTGTGTGTATCTGGTTGTCTCTCATTTGGTATCAGCCATGGATTGAGGTTCCACGTTTTAGCCTGCCACTTTTGGACTCTCGCTTGCTGAGGTGTTCCTGCAAGTATCTCTGTAGATCTTAGAAAGCTATTTCTTGATTTAAGGAGTTGGCGTGCTGGCAGATATCCGAACAGGGGATGGAGATGTCAATGCCTTGGTCCTTTCATTATTGGCGGCTACTTCCCGACGGATATCAGTGTTGGAGCTCAGCCTGTGATTGTGTTTAAGGATCAGGGTACTTTGGATGTGGGGAGTGATGACAATGAGGTTCATGCTTCCAATGATACTGATGCAGAGAATGACCAGAAGATGCTTGTTCAAAGTGTATTTTCTCATGAGAATGATCCTGAAGGGTGTGGGGATGATGGTGTGCTCCCTGAATTGCAACCAGAGAATTCCCGTGATTTGGAGCCTGAGAATAGCTTGGCACCTGGGCCAGCTGCAGAAATTAATGAGCAAATAGATAGACGGGATGTTATTAGTCAGAATAGGAAAGCAGATCAGTCTCTCAGGTGTTATGCCAGGCTCAAAGAAAGAATGATAAGAGATTCAAGGCTAAGACGAAACCCGTTTCTGGCCTCTTGGAACATAGCGTAATGAAGTGATAAAAGTCCCAAGTACAGTATCTGTAGTCAGATGAAGCATCGTTTGGAATCAAGTCAAGACCTCATTCCTATTCCTTGGAAGCCTTGCTTTGGAAAGATTCATGTGTTAAGTGTCTTTGATTCATGTTTTCAATTCTTGGGTTTTATGATCATGTGTTAAGTGCCTTGGATTCATGTTTCCATTTTTTGGATTTTACTATAGAAGATTTTGGCATTGTTTTTCATGAACCTTGATGGACTAATTTCTTGAACTATTTGTTCCCGCATATCTTCCTACCTAATTGGATTTACCTATTCCTTTAAAGTGCTTTTTACTATTACTGCTTTTTAATTATTTTAGTGTGGTGAGATGTATGTCCATATTGGGCATGCATACTCAGCAGCGGAGTCGCAAAGCACAAGGGCAGATGTCTTCACTGTATCTGGTTGCGATCCCCAGGTTGTGCCAGTCAGCTTTTGTGTGATAATATTTCTAGAACCCATTTTTGTTTTTGCTTGATATTCAAGCAGTGCTTCTTATAAGTCAGAGCACGGTCCAGAGTAACTTATATTTAAGTATGTAGTTGTAGTTTTTTGTTATTTGGATAGGCAGGTTTATATGTTGTCGATTTCAATTGTTTGTAACTGTTATGTCTTATTTCTAGTTTTAGAATATTCATTGTGCTTTAATAAAAATATTATTAAAAATACTTAAACCCAGTATTCATCTGATAGGAGCTTATACCTTATTTTTATCCACTAGAAGCAAATAAAGAGGAAACAATCAGGCACATCTAATCACCTCTCAACAAAAGATTGCCCCAGGCACTACCAGGCCATCAAATGCTAATCAAGGTAGTCAGTTGAAAAATTCACACCTAGATCCAACAGACTCCCACCCTGGTCATTCCACAGATATATAAACCCATTTTCCTAGTTCCAACAGACCTCACTACCTCTGAGGATGCTTGCCATAGATGCAGGCGAAACGTCAGGAGAAAATGCCTCTAGAACATGGCCATATAGCCCGAAAAAACCTACAACAACTCAAATAAAGCATTGCTTATCTCAGTCTGTTGATTGCTACCTGTTATTATTGTTGCACTGTCTCTTGCAAAATAGACAGAACAAAAATATTAAATCCATGCCTGCGTAAGAAGTAGAAGCCAAATGCACCAATAAACCGCCAATTGTCACTCCCTCTTAAGCATTAATTAGCATAATTTCCATTAGGTCTGAAGGAACAGACTGTATTTGTTGCTTCTTCTATGCTCCCCACCCCACCCCTCCATAGACAATTTTGCATTGGTGGTTGGGGGCCATAGACACTTTATATATGCCTCATCTATTTCTTTGGATAGAAGGACTTGCTTCTTACTGATGCAAATCCATGCTGAATATGTGGCAGAGCAACTGGCGGAAGTGACACAAGAAGTAGATTATTTAGGTATCCTTAAAATACTTCATGTCTGCTTTCTTTAAGCTGCATAACTTCATATGAAGCACAGACTTTGCACTTCCTTTCACACTTTGAATTTTGAGGTTGTTAACCTTTGTGATTGCTGTTAACCTTTATTTATTATTATTATTATTATTATTATTATTATTATTATTATTATTAGCCATCCCCTGCCACGCGTTGCTGTGGCCCACTCTAGTGGTCATGGGGATTCTGTGTGGGAGGTTTGGCCCAATTCTATCATTGGCGGGGTTCAGGATCCTCTTTGATTGTAGGTGAACTACAAATCCCAGCAACTACAACTCCCAAATGTCAAGATTCTATTTTCCCCAAACTCCACCAGTGTTCACATTTGGGCATATGGAGTATTCGTGTAGAGTTTGGTCCAGATCCATCATTGTTTGAGTCTACAGTGCTCTCTGGATGTAGGTGAACTACAACTCCAAAACCAAAGGACACTGCCCACCAAACCCTTCCAGTATTTTCTGTTGGTCATGAGAGAACTGTGTGCCAAGTTTGGTTCAATTCCATCATTGGTGGGGTTCAGAATGCTCTTTGATTGTTGGTGAACTACAAATCCCAGCAACTACAACTCCCAAATGACAAAATCAATTTTTTTGAGTGAAGGACATACATTGGGTTGTTAGATGCCTTGTGTCCAAATTTGGTGTCAATTCATCTAGTGGTTTATGAGTTATGTTAATTCCACAAACAAACATTACATTTTTTTAGATTATTATATTTAATCATATCCCTCTTTCATCTCTTAAAAGAGATTCAAAGCAGATAATATAGCTGATATAGAGGAGCCCCTGGTGGCTCAGTAAGTTAAAGCTCTGAGCTGCTGAACTTGTTGACCAAAAGGTCGCAGGTTTGAATCTGGGGAGCGGGTGAGCTCCCACTGTCAGCCCCAGCTTCTGCCAGCCTGGCAGTTTGAAAACATGCAAATGTGAGTAGATCAATAGGTACTGCTCTGGCAGGAAGGTAACGGCACTCCATGCAGTCATGCTGGCCACATGATCTTGGAGGTGTCTATGGACAATGCTTGCTCTTCGGCTTAGAAATGGAGATGAGCACCAATCCCCAGAGTTGGACACGACTGGACTTAATGTCAGGGGAAAACGTTTACCTTTACCTTAGAGGTAGCAAAAATGTGCCTGGCTCTACTGAACTAATCTTTATTGCTCTTAAGGATGAAGAAGTTGAGGATTTTGGCATCCCAGAATTCGCACAACCAGTCCTACAGTTCAACCGACAAGGAGAAACAGAGTCCCCAAAATACAATGGCCCCCCATTTCCACCAGCTGTTCCTGTTGCTCAGGTCTCTTCAGATGTCCTGGACGAGATCATAGAAAAGAGGGAGACTCTGGAGAACAAGCTGGTTGACTGGTGAGTTCTCAGGGGAATGATCATAAAATGTTTATGGGACTATGTTTTGCCTCCTGACTTTTGTAGCATCCCCTTTTCCATGTACATTTTTGGGATTCGCTTCCATCAATCAATGCACTTTACATTTAGTAAAAGGTCATGTGCAAAACAGACCTCACTACCTGGAGGACCCTACAGTAAACTTCCACTGTTGGGGACACAGCAGAGACAGGAATGAGGAAAATGAATTTGTGCCAGTAGTGTGATATAGATGTAGTTGTAATTTGGGGAGATGGTGGCAGGATATAAATACAGTTCTTTATTATTATTATTATTATTATTATTATTATTATTATTAAAGTCAAGAATTAGTTTTGCAAATCTGAAGAGGGGATGATAGGTTTGGTGCCACAGAGAGACCCAAGCATCAGGAGAGTGAGAAAAGAAGAGCAACATTTATTTAAAGCATTGTTTGTTAACTTGGGGATCAGGACCCCTGTAGGGGGGTCGTGAGGGGGTTTCAGATGGGTCGCTAAAGACCATCAGAAACATTATAATTCTCCTATAACTCTTCCTTTTTGGAAAAAGACGGTGAGTTATATATAAACTATAAATCCCAGCAACTACAGCTCCCAAATGTCAAAGTCTATTTTCCCAAACTCCACCAGTGTTCACGTTTGGGCATATTAATTAATTAATTAATTAATTACTTCATTTATATACCGCTTTTCTCAGCCCTCGGGCGACTCAGAGCGGTTAACAATAGCAAAATTCAATGCTTAACATCATAAAAACAGTTAAAAACAATTAAAATAATAACATAATAAACAGTTAAACATCAATATAACATCTCATTAGCGTCTCAAGTAAAATCATGATCCAATCTCATCATCCGTTGTTCCGTATTCCTATGTTCATTACACTGCCTATTCAAATGCCTGCTCGAACAACCAGGTCTTCACTTTCCTCCGAAATGCGAACAGGGAGGGGGCCGATCTAATTTCTGTGGGAAGGGCGTTCCACAGCCGAGGGGCCACCACTGAGAAGGCCCTGTCACTCGTTCCCGCCAACCGTACTTGTGATGCAGGCGGGACCGAGAGCAGGGCCTCCCCAATATTGAGTATTTTTGCCAAGTTTGGTCCAGATCCATCATTGTTTGAGTCCACAGTGCTCTCTGGATGTAGGTGAACTACAACTCCAAAAGTCAAGGTCAATGCCCACCAAACCCATCTAGTGTTTTCTGTTTGTCATGGGAGTCCTGTGTGCCAAGTTTGGTTCAATTCCATCATTGGTGGAGTTCAGAATGCTCTTTGATTGTAGGTGAACTATAAATCCCAGCAACTTCAACTCCCAGATGACAAAATCAAAACATGCCCTTCCCCAACCCTACCAGTATTCAAATTTAGGCGTATTGGGTATTTCTGGCAAATTTGGTCCAGTGAATGAAAATACATCCTGCATATGAGATATTTACATTACAATTAATAACAGTAGCAAAATTACAGGTATGAAGTAGCAACTAAACTATTTTTATGGTTGGGCGTCACCACAACATGAGGAACATAAGAGGTTGTGGCATTAGGGAACTACTGATTTAAAGGAATACTTTGGTCAACCTAACATAGTGAAGCTTCCCCTTGTCTGATGCCTCTGGAATATTTTGGACATCAATTCCAATGGAGGTTGCATGGTGTTTCATGTTCTCTCTGACTCCAAGGGACTGAAGAAATTAATTATGAGGAACTCTGAAATTGTTGTCCAAAACATCCAGAGGGCATCAATTTGGAAAAAGCATCCAAAAAGGATGAACAGCTACATTTGCAAGTGGATATATTAAGGCAGAGTGATAGATTAGGGAGTCGAAAGCCATGAAAAGCTTGAAAGGAAAGACCATAGACATTGTAGAAAGGAATAGGAACATCTCATAATAACTATCTCTTCTCCTTCATCAGGGTGGAACAAGAAGTTATGGCACGAATCATCAGTGGGATGTATCCAACGCAGAAAGTTGCAGTGCCAGACTTGGATGCTTCAGAGAGTGAGCACAGTGAAGCCGTGTCTTCGGATATCGGTGAGCAAGAGAGCTGCCTTTCCCTCCTCTTCTGTCTCCTTTCCCAACCTCTCAAATGGCACCAAGAGCTGAATAGGAAGTAATATGAATTTAGGAAAGGCTTATGTTCCTAACATGGTTCAAATGCGGAACCTCAACTTGACTCAGATATGGGTTCAGAGGGACAGTGGTCAAAAACCAGTGCAAAAACAGCAACCCTAATTCCTCCTTATCTTGATGTGACTTTTCCCAGTTTAACAGCAACAAACTACGATCCATCAAACAAAAGCAGTAGGTATTTGCATTACAATGCTGTAAGATTCTTCACAGAGCAAAAACTGTGTTCTTGATATCAAGTTGGCTTTTGAGGCAGTTCGGAAAATCCAGTTTATTTATTTATTTGTCGTGTCAGGAGCAACCAGACAGTTGTATTACATTTTTAACAAAACAAACAAACAGACAGACAAAACACAAAGTTTGCCAGCTTGGTAGTTGATTAAATGTCCTTTGACCAGTACCTGGCCACTTGGAGTACCTCTGGTGTTGCCGCAAGGAGGTCCTCCATTGTGCATGTAGCAGGGCTCAGGTTGTATTGCAGCAGGTGATCAGTGGTTTGCTCTTCTCCACACTCGCATGTTGTGGATTCCCCATTTGTAGCCCCATTTCTGAAGGTTGGCTCTGCATCTTGTGGTGCCAGAGCGCAGTCTGTTCAGCGCCTTCCAAGTTGCCCAGTTTTCTGTGTGTCCAGGGGGGAGATCCAGTTAGGTGCAAATCAGAATTGATGCTGGCTGGAAGCTTCTGGGTTTGGGCAGCTGTGGAAGTTGCAATCGTCGCTTTTTGTCCCAGGCCACAATAGCATGCCTCAGCAACTAGATCCCCTTTAAACAATTAAATTGAGAGGTGTTTGCTGCTGTAACCATCCAAATATCTTAGAAATCAGCCACAGTTGAGACAGGCAGTAAGCAGTGTTCCTTCCTGTCTTGTCTTGAGAAAATTGTTTGGAATTCTGGTGCATTTCTAAGATCTGGGGATGGGGTTGAGGGAGTACAATTGCTGCATGTTTTCTGCAGTTTTGATCAATTTTTGGGAGCCTATTGGGCAAAAGGAGCCCCGGTGGTGCAGCAGATTTAACTGCTGAGCTGCTGAACTTGCTGACCGAAAGGTCGGTGGTTCGAATCTGAGGAGCGAGCTGAGCTCTCAATGTTCAGCCCAGGTTCTGCCAACCTAGCAGTTTGACAACATGCAAATGTGGTTAGATCAATAGGTATCGCCTTGGCAGGAAGGTAATGGTGCTCCATGCAGTCATGCTGGCCACATGATCTTGGAGGTATCTACGGATAATGCTGGCTCTTCAGCTTAGAAATGGAGATGAGCACTACTCCCCAGAGTCGGACACAACTAGACCTAATGTCAGGGGAAACCTTTACTTTTACTTATTGGTATTTTAAAAAATAATTAAGGGATTAATCAATTAATAATTAATTAATTAATTAATTAATTTATTAATACGCTGCTAGAAAATAGTGCACCCCCCACCAAGCTTCTAAGAAAAGCTTGGTGGGGGACGCACTATTTTCTAGCAGGGTATTTATTTATTATTTATTTACTATATTTCTATCCCGCTTTTCTCAAGCCCAAAGGCTACTCAAGACGGCTTAAAGGAATCTTTAGGCATGGTGTGGGTAGAATTCAACACCATTCCTAAAGATTCCTTTAAGGATCTACAAGGCGAGTGAACAAAACTAGAGAGGAAAGTTGATGCGGAAGTTCTGTTTCACCAAACATAACTTGTGATTCTTAAGATCCAAGCCCTAATACCCACCCATTTGAATTTAGCTTTCACGTGTGTTGGATTTATTTTTAGTTGAGGCTGCAGGTACCGCAGGCTTCCAGTTGTTTGTGGATGCTGGTGTCCCCGTGGATTCAGAAATGATTCGACGATTTGTGAATGAGGCGCTTGCTGAGACGGTGGCGACTATGCTTGGCGACAGAGAAAACCACAGACCAGCTCCTGTAACAGTCGTTCCTTCAACAGCAGGGCTTCTGCCAGAAAAGGTGATTTGCTTCCTTCTGTTCTGGATTTGCAATTATAAATGTAATCATAATGTCCTGTTCCTCACTCTGTGTTACCAAAAGGAAAGTCTGAAAGGGGGCAATACTTAGAACTGGAAAATAACACAAACAGATTGCAGGAAAAATCACCAAGTAATGCTTTCATGACAAAGGGAATATGGACTCCTAAGGACCCAGGATGCCTTCATTCCCAATGTTTAAAAACTCAGAATCTTCTCACATGAAAACATCCTACATTTGAAATCAGCAGAAAATACTTGTCTGAGACTTATTTGGTCAATTTTTCTCTGTGTAATTTTCTCTGTGATATCAAGTGATAAGTAGGTGCTATAGCAGACATGAGCAAACTTGGGTCCTCCGGGTGTTTTGGACTCCAACTCCTAACAATAATTCCTAACAGCTGAGTTGAGGTTCAAAACACCTGGAGGACCCAAGTTTGCCCATGCCTGTGCTATAGCCTGAAAGCAATTATGCACCATTTAAATTGTATTACTAAATTGAATACTTTAAATATTCATACTTAAGAATAAACATTTATTTTCTTTATTGCTTGCATGTGCAAATAACCCAGGCAATGCCGGGTACCCAAGCAAGTGTGTGTGTGTGTGTATGTGTGTGGGACTGTGGTGCAGCTGGCTGAGTATCAGCTGCATTAAGATCACTTCTGACCAAAAGGTAATGAGTTCGAAGCCAGCCCGTGTCGGAGTGAGCTTCCGACCAATTGTGTAGCTTGTTGTCGACCTTTGCAACATGAAAGACAGTTGCATCTGTCAAAATTAGGTACTACCTATGTGTGGGGAGGCTAATTTAACTAATTTATGAGGCCATAAAAAGATTCCAGCAAAGCACTCCAATAAAAAGCATGCGGGGAATGCGGAAGTACTTCATCAGTGCTGCAGATGGACGATGAAAGCGACAGCTCCCCTGGCGGTGAGAAAAGTTAAATAGCCTCTGACTGTCAGTCTATATCTGTTGTGTGTGTTGGCATTGAATGTTTGCCATATATGTGTACATTGTAATCTGCCCTGAGTCCCCTGAGGGGTGAGAAGGGCGGAATATAAACACTGTAAATAAATAAATATGTAAAATTGGATTTTCATTGTTTAAATATTTTCAAAACATTTTTTCCTTGATTGTGCATTGCTTGAGGGGCCTGATGGATAAATGCATGTGTTGAATGCATGCAAGAGTGGTTGAATATAAAAATGAAATTAAATAGAATTAAAACACTTTAAAATGTATCTATTTTAAAAAAGGCAAAAATTTAAAAATAGTATTAAAAATGCATGGTTTATAAATGGGTTTGATGAAGATGCTTGGGGGTGTCACAGAACTGTCTCTGTCCCTGGTATCATGCAGCGCACACAGCCATCCTCTCTGGTGGACAGGGGCAGCTTGGAAAGTGGAAAGAAAACCAGTAATCCCTACTCAAGCCGTGATCATAGAAACCCATTCTTATGTTCTTTCCTCTGTTTTATCTGTGTGTGCTGCTCAAGGATTAACTGCATTAAGTTGGACTTACTACTCCCTCCAGGCCCCAGATTTCAAGCATCCCACAAGAGATGACGTATCCGTTTGCAGGCTTCTCATGGCTTTGGCCTTGCGACTTCATCCGGCTTTTGCTGAGCCTCAGTATATGAAATATTTGCTCATAGTACTATAGTTCTCCACTCCTGTATCCACAGATTCTGCGACCACAAATCCAACTGTCCATTGCTTGAACATGTTTGGTTAAATATCCCTAAAGCAAAGCTTGATTTTGTCTTCTTATCCAAAGGATTTTATGCAGTTTTACTATGCGATTGTTTTATAATGGGACTTGAGCATCCTTTGATTTTGGTATCCACGCAAGTGGTGGTGGTTCCCACTCTGTTTCTCTTCTGAGAATCACAAATGCCAACTGGTTGTCTTTAACTGAAATGAACTGGTGGGATTTCTTAGAGGGTAGAATAATAATAACAATAACAACAACGTTTTATTTATTACCCGCTTCTCCTTACAGCAGTGGTTCTCAACCTGTGGGTGCCCAGGTGTTTTGGCCTACAACTCCCAGAAATCCCAGTCAGTTTACCAGATGTTAAGGATTTCTGGGAGTTAAAGGCCAAAACATCTGGGGACCCACAGGTTGAGAACCACTTCCTTACAGCTTGAAGCAGGGCACAACATTGGTAAAATGCATTTATAGAAACACATATTATAGCATACAAATATTAAAATACATGGAACAAAAATTAAAAGTTAATAACCATATAAACTGTGTATACTTGAAGATAAGACGAGTTTTTCAAACCCTTTCTTGAATTGAAAAAGGCTCCCTTGGCTTATAATGGGGTCAAGGCTGGGCAGCAGATCCTGGAGGCCATTGCTTGCAATACATGATATACTTCTCTCTCCTCTTATCTCCTTTAACAGTGTGTTTCCTTTTCCAGTCAAAAGGAAGGGAAGGAGGGAAAGGAGATATATTTCATGTCCTCTTTGTTTGTATGGCTCTCTTTCAAACTCATCCAATTTCCTGGCTTTTTTTCCTATCTAAATGTATTAAATTTATATGTTATATATAGGGCTTGCAAATATTGTAGAGGAAATGCACACATACACAGAAGTCTAGCTACATATAAACATAGATATAAAGGCCTTGCAAATATTGCAGAAGGGAAATGCACATATAGAGAGAAGATTTTCAAATGTTTCAGGGGGAATGCATATGTGAAATTACTATATATAATTATAGATCTATATCTAGCTTTGCATTGTTTATATAGGCATTGAATGTTTGCCTGTTACTATGCTGGAAACTGGCCTGAGTCCCCATGGGGAGATGGGGCGGGAGGCATATGAAATATTATTATTGTTGTTGTTGTTGTTATGTTATTGTTGATACTCTACTTTTCCACTTACAGAGTTAGTATACTATTTTTCTTTGAAATATGACAAATATTCTAAAACATTTAGCCTACTGATGCCTCAGTTAGTGTAATTTCAATTTCTATTTTTATTTTGAAATTTACCATTAGCTGCAGCATTTCCTACCCTCGGCTTATACTCGAGTCAATACATTTCCCCAGTTTTCTGTGGTAAAATTAAGTGCCTCGGCTTATATTTGTGTCCGCTTATACTTGAGTATATACGGTAATGTGATTTAAAAATTTATAATTAAAACTGACTTGCTTCAAGCTTACCCTCTTCAATTTGAAGATTTGGAAGAGTATAGAAAGTGGGGCATATCAGGATGGTGCAGTTGTTTGGGTTACAGCTCTGGAGACCGATTTCACATCCCAGCTTGAGCTTGGAAGGCCTTGGGCAAGTGACACTCCCTCAGCCTCAGAGGAAGTCAGTGACAGCCCTCTCTGAACAAATCTTGTTAAGGAATCCCTATAACAGTGTTTCTCAACCTTGCTAATGACCTCTTAATACATTTCCTCATGATGTGGTGACCTCCAACCATTACATTTTTGCTACTACTTCATAACTCTCATTTTGCTACTGTTATGAATCATAATTTAAATATCTGATATGGGGGGGGGGGTATTTTCATTCACTGGACCTAATTTGGCACAAATACCTGAAACACCCAAATTTGAATATTGGTGGGGTTGGGGATGGTGTTGCTTTGTCATTTAGGAGTTGTAGTTGCTGGGATGTATAGTTAACCTACAATCAAAGAGCTTTCTGAACTCCACCCATGATGGAATTGAACCAAACTTGGCACACAGAACTCCCACAACCAACAGAAAATACTGGAAGGGTTTGGTGGGCATTGACCTTGCGTTTGGGAGTTGTAGTTCACCTATATCCAGAGAGCACTGTGGACTCAAGTAGTGATAGATCTGGACCAAACTTGGCATGAATACTGAATATGCCCAAATGTGAACACCAGTGGAGTTTGGGGGAAATAGACCGTGACATTTGGGAGTTGTAGTTGCTGGGATTTATAGTTCACCTACAATCAAAGATCATTCTGAACCCCACCAACGATAGAATTGGGCCAAACTTCCCACACAGAACTCTCACAACCAACAGAAAATACTGTATTTTCTGATGGTCCTTGGCAACCACTCTGACTCCCCTTCGCAACCCCCAGGAGTCCCAATCCCCAGGTTGAGAAACACTGCAAGAAGTTGGAAACAACTTGGAGGCACACAACACATGTGTGTCCTACCGGAATTACCATTTTCTTCTTCTACCAGGATTACCACATGCTGTTTTCTCCCTCAGGAAACCTTATTGCCTACTCCTTTGGCCACTCCTGAAGCCACACCACCTCCGTCACCACCACCACCTTTAAATGAACCATTTCCAGTAAGAACCCCAGAGTCTTCTCCATCAGCGACTGAAATGGATGGTGAACAGCCTCTAAGAAGAACAGGTAACAAAATAAGTTGGAAAAAGAGGCACCATGCTTCCTTGAAATCCTGGTTCAGTTGGGCAGAAGAAATCCATTTCCTGTCCCAAGGGCACCTGCAGATGAAGGAAGAAGGTCTTGATCTTCAAAGCCATGTAGTAATCGAGAGGGATACTTTTTGTCCAATTTTAGCTACCTGAAGAGTTACACAGAAATGTAGTTTGAATTTGCATTTGTCCTCACTCTTTTTTTAGGACCCGAGGAAGCAACTGCTGACGTGGTTTACACACCTGTGGCTACTCCCGTGGCAACGCCACCTAAAATAGCTACACCAACCCCTCCTGTATCAGAACGTGCTCCAAAGAGGGAAGCTATGGAAAAACCAGCACTTCCAAACCCATGGGAAGATGCAGAACTTCCCCTGGAAGAAGAGAAGCCCAGTCCACAGAGCGAGGAAGGAACCTACCCACCAAGAGCTGTGTAAGTTCCCTCAGTTGCCATGCAATCCCTTTGTTAGCCTGCTCTGTAGTGTTCTTCTTTGCAGGGGTAAAGAGAATGCATCCGTTTTGAGAGAGAGGAAAAATGGCATATAAATAAATATCTACGTCATCATAATCTGCAATGAAGCTTGTAAAGGAACTATTTTGCACAGATGAGTCTACCCTCTTGTTACCTTTACCTAGTGTTGATAGGATGCAGGGTTATAACTACAAGGGAGGCAGCAAAGTATTTATTTATTGATTGATTTACAGTATTTATATTACACCCTTCTCACCCAGCAGGGGACTCAGGGCAGATCACAATGCATATATACATGGCAAGCATTCAATGCCATAGACACACAACACATATAGACAGATACACAGAGACTATTTAACTTTCCAGCTTCATGAGGGTATGCTTTTTGAATTCTGGCCACCGGGGGCGCTGTCATTTCATCATCCACTTGTGACACTGATGGAGTACTTCCTGTTGGGAATCAGCCTGTGTTTGTGTTTCAGGATCCTGATGTGGAAAATGATGAGGGAAATGATGGTACTGAGGCTGAGGTACAAGATGGAGATGGTTTGGTCAATGATTTTCAGGCAGACAATGACAGAGAGGCCCCAGTGCAAAGGGCAGTTTCTCATGAGAATATTCCTGCTGGGCCTAGCAATGATAGTTCACTCCCTCTCTCTGATTTGGGTTTAGAAAACAATCTGACACCTGGGAATTTTAATGAGCAGCCAGATAGGGAGCTGAAGAATAGGCGGCTGGAGATTAGCCAAGATTGACAGCAAACTCAGTGTTTACGTCGCTCTGAAAGGCTTCGTCTGATAAGGGGAAAATGTTGGGGGAAGCGAAGTCAATTTCTGAGTTTTGGGATATAAGATTTGCCTCAAGGGGAAACCTGTTAGATCAGGCATTGTTTGGAAATCAAGTTCATGTGCCATGGAAATCCTGTTCAAGGGGTCTTGTTCCTGTGGAGTTTTTTTGCCTTTCGGATTATCTTTGCATCCTGTTTGATTCCTGCCTGGATTAATGCTGTCTTTGATTGCTTTTATTACTTGTGTGGACATTGCTTTGTGTTACTGGTTTTTATGGACTTATTACTTTTAGAACCTTCTTATTTTCTTACAAGCATTTATTTCTTCTGGCTATTTACTAAGCTTCAATAAAAGAAGATTTGTTTCTTCACTCTCCATGTGGTGTGTTTTAAAGTCAGAGGGCTTTTTCCTGACCTGATGTGCAACACTTCCTCATTCTTTTGCACGCTGCTGGAGAGTTTTATGGTGTCATAAATCAGTTAAATTAGCCTCCCCGCATAAGCGGTACCTAAATTTCCTACTTGACAGATGCAAATGTCTTTCGGGCTGCAAAGGTCAACAGCAAACTAGACAAATGGTCAGGAGCTTTCTCCGGCCTGGGCTGACTTTGAACTCATGACCTTTCGGTCAGTAGTGATTTTAATGCAACTGACTCCGAACCAGCTACGCCACAACCCAGAATGTTGAATAAGTGTTCTCCTTCTCACATGGAATTTGTTATAGTAAGTTGTATAAGGATCAACACCAAGTGTGTGTGTTAAAGAAAACCTTATATTGTTAATCATTATGTGAAGCTATTAATCTAGGTCAGCTAGTAAGTTTGAGCCACACCCGGTGGGATATAACTGTATGTGTTTTTTGAATACGCTTTGGCTTTTGCTCAACCTTTTGCGTTGCTCATTTGAAGGAAGATGAAGATGCCATGCTCTTTGCATTCTGTAACTCTTACAAGGACTATGCAAGTTTGTTGCACTGTTTATTTTGTATGCAACACTGCAAGTTTATGTTTTGACTCTGTTGACAAGAGTAAAGTTTTCTGTTGTTTTCCTCTTGTCTTTGTACCAAGTTATTGTGTCTTTTGCATTGGACCAGACTAAATTCCGCTTAAGCGTAATATAATTTTCCTTCAGGTCCTAAATTTCTAGCATCGCAGAGAGTGAGGTCCAGGTACTCACTTTTAACTAAAACTATCGTATTTTCTCTGTGCTTCTGATGAAGTTGATTTGCATTCATAAAAGCTTGTGCCATCATATTCTTTCTTTCCACTTGCTTATGCCATATATTCTTTCTTTCCACTTTCCACAGCACCTTGAAATCCTGAACCAGGATTTCAGGGTGCTGCAATATCCCTTTGCACTCTCATCTTTGCTGCGTTCCCATTGCCTCGGTTGCTTTGCCTCTAAGCTGTATTTCTAAAGGGTCATCTAAAGTTAAATGTCAAAAGTATGTGGCATCACTTTCAAAGATGCATTATTTTTTGCCATTCCTAGGATCATGTCTGTAGCAAAACATGAGGAACCAGACAGCTTGGTTTTGCCGGCTTCGGTGCCAACTGCGCCCCAGGATCTGCAGCCCCCAGAACCCAGGGCACGCTCTCCTTCGGTGCAAAGCCCTAGTTCTGGCCCTTCCACAGAGGAAAGTCCGACCACCACAGAAACGGAGACCACAGACAAGCCAATTTCAGATGGAGAAGTTTTGTACAGTTATGGACAAATGCTGGCTGTAAAAGGTGAAACCATTTCCAGCTCCCTGTGTTTGCTTTATTTATTTATTGTTACAGTGGTAGTAGTTTATTCGATGCTTAGACCATAGGTCTTTCACGTACAAGGCAAGTCAAATAAATAAATACATGAGCACCAGATTATTAAATACAATATAAAATACACAACAAAATCCTATAAATCATTAAAATGCTACATATATCGATGGCAAGATGTACCTTTAGAATACTACATGATGTATAGACTCACACCTGCGTAGTTAAAAACCAAGTAAAAGCAAATAGATACAGCATTATTGAAACTACATAAACAGCCACTATTAGTTGAAAGCATCCCCAGCACAGTTAACTGCAATATCAGAGATTAGTTTTCAGTGCTAATCAAGGTGGCCAATTGCAACATTCACACTTGCTTTCAACAGACGAGAGTTCTTTCTCCCACCCTGGACATTATTCCACATCTCACTTGCCTAGTTTCCAATAGCTCTCACAACCTCTGAGGATGCCTGCCATAGATGTGGGCAAAACATCAGGAGAGAATGCTTCTGGAACATGGCCAGACAGCCCAGAAAACTCACAGTAACCCACTGACCTCATTGCTTTGATTAAAATATCCTTCATTAATTTGTGTATTGCCTTCCATTGCCACTCTTTGCAGCAAAAGTGGTGGTGCTCCGTGACATTTCTGCCTTTTCTTACTTTCGTACCTAGTTTTGACACCTTCTTAATATTATTACCAATACAAACATACTCTATGTGACTTGGCTCCATGTGGAGGGCCAAGGAGCAGATCCTTAAAATTATGCTGCATGCTTCTGATTATTTTATGAAATGCATACTCCCAATTATGTTATTTTGGAGTGGGGGATATATTTTCTTTTCTCTCACGTCCCAACTTTTACCACAACTATTGGAGTAAGTGCGTTATGTCTTTCATTGAGGTCATGTAGCCAGATCTGGTGGGTTAGAATCAAAGAGTTGGAGTTGGAAGAGACCTCATGGGCCATCCAGTCCAATCCCCTGTCAAGAAGCAGGAATATTGCATTCAAATCACCCCTGACAGATGGCCATCCAGCCTCTGTTTAAAATCTTCCAAAGAAGGAGCCTCCACCACACTCCGGGGCAGAGAGTTCCACTGCTGAACGGCTCTCACAGTCAGGAAGTTCTTCCTCATGTTCAGATGGAATCTCCTCTCTTGTAGTTTGAAGCCATTGTTCCACGTCCTAGTCTCCAAGGAAGCAGAAAACAAGCTTGCTCCCTCCTCCCTGTGACTTCCTCTCACATATTTATACATGGCTATCATGTCTCCCCTCAGCCTTCTCTTCTTCAGGCTAAACATGCCCAGCTCCTTAAGCCGCTCCTCATAGGGCTTGTTCTCCAGACCCTTGATCATTTTAGTCGCCCTCCTCTGGACACATTCCAGCTTGTCAATATTTCTCTTGAATTGTGGTGCCCAGAGCACAATTCTGGGCACCACAATTAGGTTGACATGAAGTTATAATTATTTACATAGTGTGGTTCTTGATGGCCCGGGACCTTCTGAAATAAAGCCCTTTAAAGTTAAAGAGTTAGAACTGGTGTTGAAAAAGTTGCAGATCAGGGGAACAGCAGACTAACACAAAAATAAATGTATGGAAGACGCAAAGAGAGAAGCTACTATCCTCTATCTGCAAAACTTTTTTTTCAATGTGGAAATATTTGTGAGTGAATATTCATTGCAGCCTTACACAAAACTATATGTTTTATTGTTGTTATTACTGTCATTCTAGCTTTAGCAGAAGGAGGACTGTCTCTTCCAAACCTCAGTGACAGTTTGGCCAGCTCTCTTCACGATGCTCAGGAGATGGTAATGAAATCCTTTAATGATGCAGTTGAAATGAGCAGACTGTTCCGTTTAGCTGGGAGTGAATGACTAAAGTGTTCCAACAACAATTCACTGTTAAAACGAATCTCAGAATGAGCCGCAAAACCTGGTAGAATCAACTCAAGGCAGTCCAGTTTGCAAATAAAAGAAGTTGAAATTGGCATTTATTGACTTCATGAAATAGCAGATTGGTCACTCTTTCTTTTTTTGGTTGACCAGTCTGGCAAAGTAATGGCGTATCATATTTTTCAAGATGTGAATGTTCCAAGACAGTATTTTAGCTATATTTTAGTCCCAGCTAATCCAAAATAGGCATGATACCTCACCCTTATCTCTTAGACTGAGCAACTCAGAGGTCTGAAAAGGGCAGTATACAAATATAGTAAATAAATATAAATAAATAAATTTGTCAACTAATTATATTCGGCTGGAAGTCACCTTTGGTTGCCATTATTCACATGTAACTTGTGAATAATGGTAAATAATGGTAGAATCCCAAATTAGCGTTAACATTTTCCTTTAGCATTCTTAGGTATTGGAATCCTAGCACATTTATATGGAGATTGTGCTGACCCTGTTAGTATTTTAGGTCGCTTATTCTATCTCTAACTACTTATTCTATTTCTAACTACAGAATTTGGCTCAGATAAGGCCACCAGGCTGAAACAGATTTTAATTAATTGTCATTTAATGTTTTAAATATATGCAATTATTGGATTTTATTATGTATTTTATTATGTGTACATTGGAGGCATTGAAGTGTTGCTGGCTAGAAGCCGCCCTGAGTGCCCCCCCCCCCCCCGAGGGGTTGAGAAGGGCGGGATACAAATATCTTAAATAAATAATTTTTTTTTTCATGTCAGAAGCAACTTGAAAAACTGCAAGTTGCTTCTGGTGTGAGATAATTGGCCGTCTGCAAGGACATTGCTCAGGGGATGCCAGGATGTTTTGATGTTTTACCATCCTTATGGGAGGCTTCTCTCATGTCCCCGCATGTGGAGCTGGAGCTGACAGAGGGAGCTCATCCATGCTCTCCCCAGATTCGAACCTACGACCTATCAGTCTTCAGTCCTGCTGGCACAAGGGTTTAACCCACTATGCCACTGGGGGCTCCAATAAATATGTAGATATATATATATATATATATACACACACACACACACACACACACACATACATACATACACACACACACACACACACACACACAGTATGTGTATATATTTACACATATATGTTAGGGGAAAGACATAGATATTTCAGTATTTAGGAACATTACTTTCTTTACATTGTAAATTATTATTATTATTATTATTATTATTATTATTATTAGCTATACAACAAGATTAATACACAACAAACAAGATTACTATGCTGGCTGTTGTATTTGATCACATGTTGGAAAGTTCCCAAGTGTCTAAGACTATGTGATGTATCGGCAAATAATGCATGCAGGTCTGAGAAGAGTGGCCTTTTGCAGCTGACAAATGATAATTTTGTCAGCGCCAGTTGTTTTTAAGTGCAGGCCAAAGTCTTTAGGCACTGCACCCAGTGTGCCGATCACCACGGGGACCAACTTTACTGACTTGTGCCAGAGACTTTGTAGTTTGAGCCAGTCTTTGCAATTTGATCCAAAGTCTTTGTTGTCATTATTATTGTTGTTATTATTATTGCATGTTGTAAGGCAGTCATTACAATTTATGGCAGATAAAGCATTATACTTTCACCTTTAGTGCCTCTCATCACAATCCTTTTGATGTTCCTCAGTTTTTTTCTGCTAATGTTTCTAACTCCATAGATATATTAAGATATAAAGTGATTTACCATAAAGATGTAACCATTCACAATTTTTTATGCGTCTTTAGGACTATGACCCTCCCAGTGAAGGGCAGGTGCTGCGGAGACCTCACAAAGGATACCACAGAGATACAGTCCTCTCCCTCTTCTCAAAATTAAACCAAGCTCCACTTGCTTCTCAAGAAGAGATCTGCAGATCTGAGGTAGTTTCTGTGATTGCAATAATATGATTCATACAGTTGCTTCCATACTTCAGTCTTCATTAATATGGTGACATTTATTAAAAGCGTTGTTTTACTTCCAGGGCAGGATTATGTTTTGTATTCTAGATAGATGAAACGGGGTGGAAAGTGACATATTTCTGTGCTTACTAGTATATTTTACATTCAGCTCATATCAATTTCTAATGCACAACTCAGGCAGTCACTGTGATTCTTTCTCATCCCAGCAAGTGTTCCTGCAGCTTCCATGACTGTTGCCTTTCTCCTCTCACTTGAAGCCAGGACTGATTTGCTTATTTGAGAATTCTAGCCCTGGCTTCCTTTGTCTTACACATCGCTCATAATAGTAGTTTACATGACTTAAAATTACAATCCACCAGAAAGCAGAGAAATACCAGGTGGTAAAACAGAACAGATTTTTAAAATTCTGAATCTTTAACCCTTAAAGGTAAAGACAAAGGTTTCCTCTTGACATGAAGTCTAGTAGTGTCCAACTCTGGGGGTGGTGGTGGTGCTCACCTCCATTTCTAAACTGAAGAGCCAGTGTTGTCCATAGACACCTCCAAGGTCATGTGGTCGGCATGACTGTATGGAGCGCGGTTACCTACCTGCCATAGCGGTACCTATTGATTTACTCATATTTGCATTTTTTCAAACTGCTAGGTTGGCAGAAGCTGAGGCTAACAATGGGAGCTCACCCCTGCTCCCTGGATTCGGACTGCCAACCTTTTGGTCAGCAAGTTCAGCAGCTCAGCGGTTTGACCCACTGCACCACCGGTGCAATAAAAGCATTTAAACTGGTCATCTTCAACTGACCAGTTTAAATGGCATGGATGGAGGGTAATAATAATAATAATAATAATAATAATAATAATAATATTTATTTATTTATTTATTTATTTGCTTACTGTATTTGTATACCGCCTTTCTCAGCCAATTGGCGACTCAAGGCGGTTTCCAACAAATCAGTATACATAAAAAATAATATAGATAAAATCATTAAACAGTATAAGACATCACAAAAGCAATAAAAGCAACATCATCAGTGTGTCATTATTCTCAAGCATTGTCCAATTCCATTGTCAGGTCATTCAATTTCCTATAATAGCTACTCTGTGTTTGTAAATGCTTGCTTGAATAGCCATGTTTTAACTTGCCTCTGAAACGTCAAGAGGGAGAGAGCAGATCTGATCTCCCTAGGGAGGGCGTTCCATAGCCGAGGGGCCATCACTGAGAAGGCCCTGTCTCTCGTCCCCGCCAAATGTGCTTGTGACAAAGGCGGGACCGAGAGCAGCGCCTCCCCAGATGATCTTAAAGTCCTCAGAGGTTGGTTATTATAATTATTATTAATAATAATAATAATAATCTTTATTTATACCCCGCTACCATCTCCCCAATGGGGACTCGGAGTGGCTTACATGAGGCCGAGCCCAAACAACAATTTACAATAAAGTAAAACCAAAAACACAAACCGAGAACACAAACAATAAAGGCCCTGAGAAACATGTTGCTGTTCCTGCTCCACAACTTTGTATATCTGTTATGATTATTCCTCCTCCTTCCTTCCACCTATCCTTTATATATGGGCATGTATATGACTTGGGAGTAGCCTAAGTGCAATGAAATATACTTTGGGGTGTGTTTGTGTGCAGGCGCAAAAACAGCAACATGTTTCTCAGGGCCTTATTAATTATTTATTTATTTGCAGTATTTATATTCCGCACTTCTCACCCCGCAGGGGACTTCAGGGCGGATTACAATGTACATATACATGGCAAACATTCAATGCCATAGACACACAACATATATAGACACACCCAGAGGCTATTTAACATTCCAATTTTTTCTGGCCACCAGGGGAGCTGTCGCTTCACTGTCTAACTTGCGACACCGATGAAGTACTTCCTCATTCCCCGCATGCTTGCTGGAGATTTTTATGGCCTCGTAAATTAGTTAAATTAGCCTCCCCACATAAGTGGTACCTAAATTTCCTATTTGACAGGTGCAACTGTTTTTCGGGCTGCAAAGGTCGACAACAAGCTACACAAATTGGGCGGAAGCTCACTCCGACCCGGGGTGGCTTCGAACTCATGACCTTTTGGTCAGTAGTGATCTTAATGCAGCTGACTCCCCGCCAGCAGCGCCACAGTCCCGCTGCCTTCCAGATACAGCCTTGCTCTCTTCACCCACATTTCATGCATGCACCTATCATGTGACTGCTGGACTGGGAAGCAGAGTAGCTCTTTTCAATTTGGGTGCTCAGTCCACATCCAAGGGACCGTGGCATTGGTTGCTTTTGTGGGGAAAGTATAACACCCCCCTCGCTTTTCTCTGGCTCATTTCCCTCCCTTTTACTTTAGAATACTGATGACAGCGCTGGAGAGCTCAGTGAGGGCCAGAGACCGAGACTGACAAGGACTGCAGAAAGTATCCTCATGGGGCGGTCTGTTTATATGGATCAGCATGCCAGCCAAGTCCCTAGACAGACGGCTCTCCGTAAACCATCACCTGGACAACATGGCAGAGAAGCAGGTGCATATTCGTGATAATACTATTGTTCTGGGATGTCCTGGAGGCTGTTTTTGTGCCCTCTTCAGAGCGGAATTTGCTTTTTAACAGGTTGCATGGGCCCCTGCACTGTTAAATGTGTTTTGTAAACTATCTTAATGTATTAATAGGAATGTTTGTTCAGCTATTAAACTATTATATGGCCATGTTCTAGAGGCATTTCTCCTGATGTTTCGCCTGCATCTATGGCAAGCATCCTCAGAGGTGAGGTCTGTTGGAACTGGGAAAAAGGGTTTATATATCTGTGGAATGACCAGGGTGAGACAAAGAACTTTTGTCAGTTGGGCTAGGTGTGAATGTTTCAACTGACCACCTTGATTAGCATACAATGGGCTGACTGTGCCTGGAGCAAACTCTTCTTGAAAGGTAATTAAATGTCCCTGCCTGTTTCCTCTCTGCTGTTTTTGCTCACCCTGGTCATTCCACAGATATATAAACCCTTTTTCCATCCAACAGACCTCACTCTGAGGATGCTTGCCATAGATGCAGGCGAAACGTCAGGAGAAATGCCTCTAGAACAGTGGTTCTTAACCTGGGGTCCCCAGATGTTTTTGGCCTACAACTCCCACTGCTCTAGAACATGGCCATATAGCCCGAAAAAACCCTCAAGAACTTAGTGATTCCAGCCATGAAAGCCTTCGACAATATATTAAACTATTTTTTTAAATCAGTGTGAATCCCTGTATTGTCAAAGGCTTTCATGGCCGCAATCACTGGGTTGTTGTAGGTTTTTTCAGGCTATATGGCCATGTTCTAGAGACATTCTCTCCTGACGTTTTACCTGCATCTATGACAAACATCACCTCACTACCTCTGAGGATGCTTGCCATAGATGCAGGCGAAACGTAAGGAGAGAATGCCTCTAGAACATGGCTATATAGTCCAAAAAAACCTACAACAACCCAGTGTGAATCCCTGTTTGGCCATGGAAACCCACTGGTGGATCTTGAGGAAGTCACTCACTCTCAGCTTCAGAAGAGGTTCACCTTAGGAGTGCCATAATATGTTTATTTATCATATCGGAAGCAAATTGACTAGGATGCAGAACAATGGCTTCAAACTACAAGAAAGGAGATTCCATCTGAACATTAGGAAGAACTTTCTGACTGTGAGAGCTGTTCAGCAGTGGAACTCTCTGCCCCGGAGTGTGGTGGAGGCTCCTTCTTTGGAAGCTTTTAACAGAGGCTGGATGGCCATCTGTCAGGGGTGCTTTGACTGCTTCTTGGCACAGTGGGGTTGGACTGGATGGCCCATGAGGTCTTTTCCAACTCTATGATTCTATTCTATGATTCTATGATTCTAATACAATTATAATGTAACTTTTTAAAAAACCACAAACAAAATTAAAAACTTGGCATTGTACTAAATTTCCTTTGACTAGAAGCTGGCCACTTGGAGAGCCTTTCTTCTAAGTTTGCTATTTTTTTAATTGAACCCGTCCAATTAGGAAAGGCTTTGGGCTGATCTGCAAGAACCATTTCTCAATGTATTGTTGAAGGCTTTCCTGGCCAGGATCACTGGGTTGTTGTAAGTTTTCTGGGCTGTATGGCCATATGGAGTAATCCTGGACTCATCGCTGAGCATGGAACCCCAGGTCTCAGCGGTGGCCGGGAGAGCTTTTGCACAGTTAAAACTTGTGCGCCAGTTGCGCCCGTACCTTGGGAAGTCAGATCTGGCCACAGTGGTCCACGCTCTTGTTACATCCCGAATAGATTACTGCAAACTACTCTATGGGGTTGCCTTTGAAGACTGTTCGGAAACTTCAATTAAGTCCATCGGGAGGCAGCCAGATTACTCACCGGAGTGTCATACAGGGAGCATACACCCCTTTATGTCAGCTCCACTGGCTGCCGATCCAATTCCGAGCACAATTCAAAGTGCTGGTTTTGACCTACAAAACCCTATACGGTTCCGGCCCAGTGTATCTGTCCGAACGCATCTCCCTCTACGTCCCACCTCGGAATTTAAGATCTTCTGGGGAGGCCCTGCTCTCGGCCCTGCCTCTATCACAAGTGAGACTGGCGGGGACGAGGAAGCAGGGCCTTCTCGGTGGTGGCCCCTCGCCTGTGGAATTCACTCCCCGGGGAAATTAGGTCATCAACATCCCTCCTTTCCTTCAGAAGGAAGTTGAAAACATAGATTTGGGACCAGGCGTTTGGGTAACCTGGCAGACAGATAAAAGGACAACGACGACTGATAGGAATTGACAATGTGAAATGAATTTATGGACTCTGAGCTGACGAACGTTGAGCATGGTTTTATTAATTGTGATATATAATTGATTGTTTAATTGTTATAACTGTTTTAATTGCTGTTTATATATGTATCTGTACTATTGTGTAGGCATCGAATTGTGCCTTTTGTAAGCCGCCCTGAGTCCCCCCTCGGGGGTTGAGAAGGGCGGGATATAAACACGCAAAGTAAATAAATAAATAATATTCCAGTAGCATTCTCTCCTGATGTTTCACCTGCATCTATAATAATAATAGTAATAAGAATAGTAATAATAATAAACTTTATTTATACCCCGCCACCATCTCCCCCAATGGGACTCAGAGTGACTTACATGAGGCCAAGCCCGAACAACAAATGACAATACAAAAATACAATTTGCAATAAAATAAACAACATAACATTAAAGTATAAAACATCAAAGCATATAAACAATATACACAGGACATAGAAACCAAACTTAATGACAGAGTGGGCCGCATGTACATAAAATGATTTAAAACCTCAGGGTGAGATATAGAGGCAGGCATCCTCACCTCACAACCTCTGAGGATGCTTGACATAGATGCAGGTGAAACATCAGGAGAGAATGCTTCTGGAACATGGCCATATAGCCTGAAAAACTTACAACAACCCAACAATTTTTCATTTGAAAAAGCATGACGGGCTCTTGATTCAGAGCAGCCAAAAGGTCAGTGCAGTTAGAACAGCACAGGAGGAGAAACTGAAACTCACGATAATTATTTTTTGAATGGCTGCCACTTTTCAGGCACGCGCGCGCGTGTGTGTGTATATATATATATATATATGAAAGAGAGGTTATGCATCAATCCATCAACAGTCATGGTTAAGTGCTATATTTCATTTTCTGATGCCTATGTTACAATTTAGAAGTTGAACAATTAAATAGCCAGTTACATCATCTGGTTATAAAAGATTACATATTTCTAGCGTCTGACCTTGTGCACACATTGAAGAAATAAGCATTAAATTAACTGTGTTACTTAAAAGTAGGCCCTCAGGTGTGATATTTAGCAAATATAAAGATCTACGTGTTAAGTGTTCCGGCCAGCAGACTAGGAGTCATGTCTTCATTTGTGTGACCTGCCTTTATTTTGCATGTCATAAATTCAGTGAGCGGTTCCAAGAGTTTATGAGCTAGTTGTGTCTGCACGAGCTGCCGAGCAACAATTTGTGGTGCTATCCACATTTCAAATATAAATCAGTGTTTTCTGTCGCGAATGGCATATGACCTCACAACTTCTGAGGATGCCTGCCATAGATGAAGGCGAAACATCAGGAGAGAATGCTTCTATAACATAGCCATGCAGCTTGAAAAACCTACAACAACCCAATGATTCCGGCCATGAAAGCCTTTGACAATTCACGCCTGTCTTGGAACATGCTGCGCGGTTTTAACTCACAGCTTTACCATTCTAAATACGGTGTTCCATCTCACAGGAGAAGTTCTTGGAGATGCCGACGATGGACCCATGAGCATGGCTGAGCTGGACCAACCTGTTTCTCCAGCAGACTTTGGAGACAGCAGACAGACGACACCTCACCTGGACAGTGCACCCCCGGTAATGTACTGTGGCTCTTTTGAAAAACCTTATTTGGATGGGTTTGATGTCAAACAATCTAAAAGTGAGGGACAGTGTAGGAGTGGGAGAAATGCAGATTCATTTTCAGTCTATCAAAATCTTTCTGTACTTTATGGGATGACTTCCTCCAGGTGTTTTGGACTTCCAACTCCCAGAATACCTGACCACTGGACAATCTGGCTTATGGGAGCTAGTCTCAAAACACCTGGAAGACCACAGATTGTGCAGGCCTTCTGTAGAATGTTGTGCTCATTCCATATTGTGGCATTCTGCACAGGTTTTTCGTGTCTCATTGCCACCCTTGCCTCACATTTGTTTGAAAACTTGAATTGGAATGCTTCAATATGATGAATGCATATACAGTTGTGTCTTTGTTTTCATGGATTCTGTGTCCATGGAGTCAATTTTCAAGCCAAGCTGGAAAATATTTTTCCCCAAGGGACTTGGTGCGGCTTACATGAGGTCAAGCCCAAATACAAGCAATAATAACAACAATACAAGTTAAAATAAAACATGGACAATAAAATAAAATAACGTAAGCATTAACAATAAGACAGCACACAATTAAAACCATGGGAAGGCCAAATGTAGAATTAAAATTAAAATAATGCTGGAATATGGCCGAAAAAAGTGATGGGGCGTTTGTGGAAAACATACAAGCAGACCTAAACCATGAAAAGTGCTGTGGGATCATTATTCTGGGAAGGCACACTGGAACAACCACGTTTTCAAGCTCCTTCTAAAGACTGCCAGAGTTGGGGCATGTCTGATGTCCTTAGGAAGTGAGTTCCAGAGTCGAGGGGCCACCATCGAAAAGGCCCTCTCTCTCGTCCCCACCAATCGCGCCTGCAATTGGATTTTGGTATCCGTGATTGTCCTGGAACCAAACTCCAGCAAAAACCCAAAGGGCTCACTCTTAATACATTTATTGACTGTTTTTCCCTGGGTTGTTGTAGGTTTTTTGGGCTATATGGCTATGTTCTAGAAGCATTCTCTCCTGGCGTTTCGCCTGCATCTATGGCAGGCATCCTCAGAGGTTGTGAGGTCTGTTGGGAGTTAGGTTTGACTGTTTCAACTGGCCACCTTGATTAGCATTTGATGGTCTAACTGTTTTTAGGTGTTGCTGCTTGGGGGAATCCTTTGTTGAGAGGTGATTAGTTGTCCCTGATTGTTTCTTGCCTGGAGTTCCCCTGTGTTTGAGTATTGCTCTTTATTTGCTGTTATAATTTTAGATTTTGTTAAAAATACTGGTAGCCAGATTTTGTTCATTTTCATGGTTTCCTCCTTTTTTTGACATTGTTCGCATATTTCTGGGTTTCAATGGATTTCATCAAGGAACATGAAAGGCACTGCAGACTACTTCAACCAGAGAAGTCAGCCATAGCAGAGCACCTGATGAACTAACCTGGACACAGCATATTATTCGAGAACACAGAAATGCTGGACCACTCTCACAACCACCATGTCAGACTACACAGAGAAGACATTGAAATCCCCAAGAAACACATGGACAATTTTAACAGAAAGGAAGAAACCATGAAAATGAACAAAATCTGGCTACCAGTATAAAAAAAACTCTAAAATTATATCAGCAAATAGAGAACAACACTTAAACACAGGGGAACGCCAGACAAGAAACAATCAGGGACAGCTAATCACCTCTCAACAAAGGATTCCCCCAGGCACTAACAAGCTACACCTAAAAACAGTCAGACCATCAAGTGCTAATCAAATCGGTCAATTGCAATATTCACAGTTGCCTCCAACAGACAAGAGTTCGTTCTCCCACCCTGGACATTTCACAGATATATAAGCCAATTTTTCCTAGTTTCCAACAGACCTCACAACCTCTGAAGATGCCTGCCATAGATGCAGACAAAACGTTAGGAGAGAATGCTTCTGGAACATGGCCACACAGCCCAAAAAATCTACAACAACTCAGTCATTTCCCCCCTCAAATTTCTGTTTGCTTAGAATGTTGTTAAACATCAGAATGTTAATAGGACTTACAATGATTGTTACACAGCAGCAGCACCACCAAGAGACGTTGCAGCCAGCAAAACCCAGAGTCATCTGTGTGAAACCCAGATCTGAAGACACACAACAGCAAGGTAAAAGTTTGCTTTCATAATCTTTTAGACATTATCTTCTGTTCCCAGACTGACCTCATAGTGTTGTCAGTTTAAACCTGGGGTGAGCAGCACTGGAAGGCAGGAGATGCATACTTGAAAAGACCTTAAAATGGAGAATCCTGTTGTCAGAAGCTTCTGAAAGCAGAATCCTCCATTTCTTTTCCTTGATGGTGGATATTAGTGGGCAAGATGGACCGCATGAAGGTTACAGGCCATTCAGTTCCCAGCATTGACATACTCATAGCCTTTTGTTCCCCATCCCTGCAAAAAGATGAAGGAAGTGCATACAAAGAAGGGTGAGAGCAGAGCAGGTAGTTCTCCAGACAAATCTGGCTGACCCAGCCAAACAAGGGAGAAAAATATTTTTTTTTGAGAAATCAAATACAGTCTGGAATTAATAAACCCTGTCTATTGATCTTGCAGTAATGCTCAGGTCATAGAATCATAGAATAATAGAGGTGGAAGAGATCATATGGGCCATCTAGTCCAACCCCCTGTTGCGATTTATTCGTCCAGTCACTTCCAACTCTTCGTGACCTCGTGGACCAGCCCAGAGCTCCCTGTCGGACATCATCAACCCCCTGCCATGTAGGAAAAGCACAATCAAAGTATCCCTGACAGATGCTCATTCACCGGATTCTGAAGCAGAAAGTTCCACTGCTGAATGGCAGAAAGTTCTTCTTAATATTCAGCTGGAATCTCCTTTGCTGTAATTTGAACCCATGGCTCCAAGTCCTAGTTTCCAGGGAAGCAGAAAACAAGCCTGCTTTCTCTTCCTTATGGAAATGTCTTTCATATGTGCAGGTTGAGTATGCCCTGTCTAAAAGGTATTCCAAATTCTATAAAAACAGTTTCCAAAATCCAAAACACTCCTAGTCCTAAACATTTCAGCTATAGGATACTCAGCCTGTATTTATTTGAATTTAAAATGTGTAAAATTAGTATATTATATATATTTATTTATTACAATCGATTTTTTGGTGTCAGGATCGACTTGAGAAACTGCAAGTCGCTTCTGGTGTGAGAGAATTGGCTGTCTGCAAGGACATTGCTCAGGAGACGCCCGGATGTTGTTGTTGTTGTTGGTTTTTTAAAAATGTTTTACCAGCCTTGAGGGAGGCTTCTCTCTTGTCCCCATATGGGGAGCTGGAGCTGACAGAGGAAGCTCATCCATGCTCATTCCGGATTCAAACCTGCAACCTGTCGGTCTTCAGTCCTGCCAGCGCAAGGGTTTAACCCACTGCGCCGCTGAGGCCTCTGTCAATGACCAACACCAAAAAATAAACAAACTTCTCAGCCTTTTGACTAAGATCAAGTATAGTATCTGTTCTTATCAGTTTGATTAGCCTATTGTCCACACCCATAAGGGCTGCAGTGGTGCAGCGAGTTAAACCTCTAAGATGCCGAACTTGCTGATCGAAAGGCCAGCAGTTCGAATCTGTGGATGGGGTGAGTTCCTGCTGTTAGCCCCAACTTCTGCCAACCTAGCAGTTCAAAAACATGGAAATGTGATTAGATCAATAGGTACCACTTCAGTGGGAAGGTAATTTCTGAATAATTTAAAACACAGAACAAAAGTGCTTAAGCTATTTTTTTAAAAAAAGGTCCACATTCATAAAAGAGGCAGTTTTTTTTCTACTTATTGTATGTTAAAAGCTCCATTTTCTGTTACAATATAAGAAAACTTAAGGCTTGGATTTAAGTTTCCACAATTGGAAAAGTATGGTTACCTGCACAATTGAGTTTTAATTCCTGCCAGGTATAAGACTTTCCAACTCTCAAGTTTAACAAGCTGTAAAACCAGCAGACATGGATGTACCCTAAATGGATAAGAGTTACTCACACTCACAATCATGCCGACCATATGATCTAGGAGACATCTATGGACAACACCGGCTCTTCAGCTTAGAAATGGAGATGAGCAACACCGCCCAGAGTCGGACTCAATTAGACTTAATGTCAAGGGGAAACCTTTACCTTTACCATAATTTATGTGACTTGCACATTTGTGGCTCTGTGAACATTTTACACCACAAAATGCAGGGATTTTTGGCATCTTGTTCGGTCTATATAAAAGGAAAAGCTTTTCAAGTCTCAAATACAGATCAGCCTTTATATCCAGAAAAACCTTGTAAACCTATGTATAGGCGGTGCACATTTTCTGCTGGATAATGTAGGAACCTGCTTGTAGGTGAAGTCTTGGCCACAAGATGGCAGCCATCTGTTTCTTCATGTTACAGAGGTCTGGAAGATGTGTCTTATTCCATGTATTTATGAATAAAGAATTCTTGGTCTTTTTAAAAGAAAGGGGGTCCTTCCACTTTTAGTACAACATTTCCTATTGCCTTCTATCTTATCAACAACAATCATATTTTCCAGTGATACATTACTTCTTATGATATGGTCAAGGTCTCATAGAATCATAGAGTTGGAAGAGTAATCTGTCACAGTAAGTTGTCACAGGATCAAGTACGTGTGTTAAAGAAAACCTTGCATTGTTGATTATTATGTGCAGCTGGTAATGTAGGTCATCTAGTAAGTTTGGTCCACACCCAGTGGGGTATAACTGTATGGGTTTTAGAATACAGTTCACCTTTTACTCTGAGGAGCCTTTGCTCAGGCATTTTGCTCAGCCATTTCTACTGCTCTCTCATTTGGATGATGATGAAGAAGCCTTATTCTGTATTGCGTACAAGGACTATGTAAGTTTATTGCACTGTTTGGATGGATGGTATCCTTGAAGTGACTGGCTTGACTCTGAAGAAGCTGGGGGTGGTGATGACCGACAGGGAGCTCTGCCGTGGGTTGGTCCAGGTCATGAAGAGTCTGAAGCGACTCAACAAATAAACAACAACAACACACATCAGCCAACATCACTCCAGACCAGGAGCGACCAGCATGACCCTTTTTGTGCCCTCTGGCCACCATAACAAGGATGCTGTGGAGACTGTATACAACCCTCTTTAACACACATTTATGTTACTAACTAGCATATATACCCAGCGTTGCACAGGTGTAATAAAGGCCACCCCCCTGCTTTCTCCCTTCTCCAGTTCTGAGAAGACATGCCTCACAATGTTTTGGCAATGATGGATGGGCTTTCTGAGACTTAAAGTGTCTCCCTGTCAATGCTCTGTTACAGTAAGTTGTAACAGGATCAAGTGTGTGTGTGTGTTAAAGAAAACCATATACTGTTAATCATTATGTGCAGTTGCTAATGTAGGTCAACTAGTAAGATTGGACCATACCCGGTGGGATATAACTGTATGGTTTTTAGAATACAGTTCCGCTTTTGCTCTGAGGAGCATTTGGTCAGACATTTTGCTCAACCGTTTCTACTGCTTTCTCATTTGAATGAAGATGAAGAAGACTTATTCTGTGTTGCTTACAAGGACTATGTAAGTTTGTTGCACTGTTTGTAACATTGCAAGTTTATGTTTTAACTCTGCTGATAAGAGTAAAGTTTTTCTGTTCTTTTTCCTCTTGCCTGGGTGCAATGTTATTGTGTCTTCTGCACCTGGACCTGACTGAAACACGCTACGCGCAACATAATCAATTTAGTAATCTTGGCTTCCAAGAAGAGTTCAGACTTGATAGTAGTATTGTGTCACATTCTCAGTGCCAATTTAGAGTCCTTTCTCTTCAGCTTCAAAGATCCAATTAGAGGGGAGGGGATTTGCTCTGGCCCAGACTAAAAAGAAATCTAAATATGGAAAATGTCATTTTACTTGATGATCTTGTGACTTTCTTGCCTCTCTCTTGGCAATAAATTATGTGGGTTCCTCTTCTCTTCCATTCCATCAACTCTTGCGCTTCTGCGCCTTGATTTGTGCTCCGAAGCTGGCCCTAGTGTTACTCCACCAATTGGAAGCATCTGTCAGGGATTTTCTATACCACAGCAAGTCCTGTAATTCATTAGAATAATGCCTGTCTAATAAGGAGATGACAGCAAAGAATCTTGCAAAGCTAAGTAATGAGCTTATTAACAGTGGAAATGAATTTTGTGAAGCATATTGGCTTTCACATCTAATGAAGGAAGACACATTTTTCAACATGGAGCTTCGTGGAAACTTTTACAGATTTTACTCTGGACCACCCACTTACACATCAGTGTTATCACACTTGATAGACCTAAGGGATAAAGATAATGATAAACACCCTCGTTTTTCCTTCTCCCAGACACAAACGCAACAAAGCAGATCCAGATTACCAGCCTGGAGTGCCACATAGCACTTATTATGCAAAACCCATAAGAAACTGGGTCCAGTATTTAATTGGATCCATGACCAATGAGTTGTTAGCAGGGATTTTTGCAAGAACGGAGATCAGCTCATGGAATAGCGAAAGGACTGTGCCAAGCCCCTTTCTGGGACTCCATACCCAGAGGACTGTACCATACATTGACCTTGAAGGAGCTGGGGGTGGTGAAGGCTGACAAGGAGCTCTGGTGTGGGCTGGTCCATGAGGTCATGAAGAGTCGGAAGCGACTGAACGAATGAACAACAACATGTTACAGAAAGCCAAAACAGATCCAATACCAACCAAGAGCTCCAGCAAAGGATTGCTGCCTTGTCGTGGCACTGGAGCTTGAGTATCTCAATGATGCCATGAGCGAAACCGTGAAGGGCCACCCAAAATGGGACGGTCATGGCAGAGAGGTCAGACCAAACGCAATCCCTGGGGAAGGGAATGGTAACCTGCCCCAGTATTCTTGCCAAGAAAACTAAATGGATCAGTACAACCAGAGATATTTTGGTATTCCATCGGAAGATGGGACTCCCAGGTCGGAAGATGGTCAAAATGCTATCCTTGAAGTGACCGCCTTGATTATGAAAGAGCTGGGGGTGGCAACGGCTGACAGGGAACTCTGGCATGGGCTGGTCCATGAGGTCAATAAGAGTCAGAAGCACCCAGTGTGCCAATCACCACTGTCACCACCTTGACTGTCTTTGCAGTTCGATCTTTGCGGAAGCCTTTTA